ACTATTTTAAATTCAATTCCAAGTATAAGACCTAATAGCTAGGCTCCAGCCCATAAAACGTCGCCGTTTTTCTAGTTTTAACATGATTTGCTAAATAAATTGTCTCAACGAAAGACTTTTGAAACATCGAACTTGAAGAGTTAGGTTCAATTGAAGAATACACTGTTCAAATGTATTTTCTTCGTCTATCGAATAGTAAAATTTAGATACAACATTAAAAAAAAAAAAAAAAAAAAACGATTCTCAAAAAAAGAAGTCGCGTCATATCACATCACAATAAATTAGCTTTTAATTTAAAAAAAAATTAAATTTTGTTTGTCATAATAATAGTAATTAAAAGCCTAAAGTTAATTAAAATCGAACATTTTGCTTATCTAATCGACTTCAAACTCGTTTGGAGCATGAGGAGTTTAAATATAATAATGAAAATTGTGGCCACAAAAACTCGAGTTCCATTGAGTTCGGGCTCAAACGGGGTCGAACTGAGTTCGGGCAAGCAGGATAACATCCCTAATAAATAACACGCTAGCAAAAAAAATTTTATGGTTAAACTGTAAGAACTAGTTTAAATGACTAAAATAACTAGTAAAAAATTCATATTTTTTTCGTTTTTAAATATAAGCGAACTTAACTATCTTTTACTATTTGATCCATAGAGATCCGAAAGTTTTTAAAGACACTTCAGGAATTGAAGAACGTACTTGTGAAAAAATATTCACTGGTCATTCAAACAACCGAAGGGTTGCAATATTACCTAAAAAAAAGAATTTTCGTACGACTTCATATGAAATTATTATGCATGATCTACTAGCCAATCCAATCTAATCTGATGAAAACAAACATCATACTGATAAGACTACATACGCATAATTCTAGTTAAATATAGAAAATATAATACTTTCAATTACTAAATGCATATTAGCAGATCTTCTGCAAGTCGAGTTCTCAAGCGCTTTAAAATATGGATATATTAAAAAATTCCCGCTACTTTTGAAAGATATAATTTGATGCATCCTAATATCAGAAGCAACGCGAGATCTAAAATTAGAGTCGGTGTTGCAAAGGTAATCCAAGATAAAATTTTTTATGACAATTTTAAAAAGCAATCTCAGGCAAAATTGGCGATTTACGGAAACAAACAGTATCTTTTTTATACATGGGTGTCTAAAAAATTTTTCAAAAGAATAATTTATTAATCATTTTCGCATCTACTTAATGTATTTTAATATAAGGAATTCGAATCATTTCAGAAAAATTTCGACAACTATAAAACATAATTTCATCACTAAGAAATTAATTTCGACAGACTAATTTCAATAATTATTTATTAAGAATGTAATTTAGACACCTATATATAATATTATCGGCCATACTTAGCTAATTTATATAATTCTTGAAAATTATCAGATTAATAAATTTTTAATATTTAAATGTATTTTCTCAATGAAAAATATATAAATATAAAATGAAATATGATTTAATAGATTTCTTTTTTCTGAGAAAATACAATTTATAGAACTGATTAATAAATTATATTGAATTTTCTAAAATTTTTAGGCTTGGATGTCTTAATGAAAAGCAAAATAGTAAATTCTACTTTGGAAATGATCTTACTTTTTTGATGGAATGGATAATTTTGAGTCTTATGAACATCTATATAAAAGAGCTCTCAACGCAAAGTATGTATTTTACTTATAATTATTCTATTTTGTAATGAAATAACTAATTTATTTATTACTTAAAATTTTTATGTAGAATTTCTATCCATAGTATGGCTATGTATCTGATCATGATGCAAAAAACTTTATTTCAGAAAAAACAGGGGACTTTTTACATATTTAAGCAAATTAAAGAATGTTTTGCAGGTTGCGTTGGTGGACTCCTGAGCATTTTTTGCAGTGATGTAAAATTAAATTTACGAATTCCTAAAACTATTTTAAATGTTAAAATATCTGACGTACTTTGCAAATATGAAAATAGTATAAATGATGATATGCTTAGTACTCAGATCAAAATTCATAATTTATATGCTGGAGAGAAGAAAAACTTACCATTCAAGGTTAAATTTAAAGTATTGTTAAGAACTATAGACGTTCAAAAAAGGCGGATTTTAAAATACCTAAGAATCAAGATAACTTTGAAGAAGAAAATAATACAAATTTAGACGAACTTATTATAATTGAAGCTGATGTTGATTATTTTAATATTCGCAAAGGAATTCGAATAAGTCGTCTTGAATCACCAGCAACATTAAAAGTAGTTTATACTTCATCCCAAATTAATTCATCAGACAATCTCGCCAACCCACAGGTAATTCAACATATTTATCGACACCTTACTACGAGAGTTATCTCTAAAGCAATTAATTTTGCTGAAAAAAGTGATTATTATAGTGCTCAAATGGTTATCAAATTTGATAAAGGAAATCAAAGTGTATTATAATGAATCTCCAGAGTTTTATAGATGATTTGTAAAAGATAGCAAAACAACTTTATAATTCACAAACTTATAATAATGGTGGAAATGCTGATGCGTTGTCTGTTTGTATGGTACATTGAAGTCAACGTTCTTTTGCACATAGATCTACTGAGTCTGCTTATCAATATAGAAATAGTTTACAAGGGCATCTATGTTCTAAAATGTGTGTTTTCATTTTAGCTCAAATAATTTAATGGATTTTTTTGATCTAATAATTTTTAACAAATAAACCTGATTTTTTTCCATTAGTGACTTTCGTGATTTAATCATTATACAACTTTATTTATCACTAATATTTTTTTCGTCATATGTACCTGAAATAATTCTCTAGTTAGTTTTTTGGTACTTTGAGTGTTCGTATTGGTGTAGTTTTAAGAAATATTTTCTTCTGGCTAATAAAATTCTACGAGATAAAATACTTCTGACCATAACTATCATCAGAGAAATGACAAGGACCTTTACTATAACGGTTTAAATCATAGAATTTACTACTATCATTGTATATGCATTTTAAATTTGGAAAATTTTATATAAAGCAATTAAGCACGGTTATTTGGTCGTGCCTAGTGTCACGGAGAATTGCAGTTATACGGGTCTTTGTTCTTTTGGCCTTCCAATTCAACTCGCTTGGCTTTCCACACAGG